TGATGCTAAGAAGGAAAAGAAGGTGATGCAGAGTATTCCTGTGGTGTGTGATTATCCGGAAGTATTTCCCGAAGATCTTCCTGGATTACCACCTGATAGACAAGTGGATTTCAAAATTGACTTGTTACCAGGAACAACGCCCATTGCAAAAGCACCTTATCGATTAGCACCGACGGAGATGAAGGAGTTGATGATGCAACTTCAGGAGTTATTGGACAAAGGACCTAATTCATCACCCTGGGGAGCTCTGGTGTTATTCGTGAAGAAGAAAGATGGAAGTATGAGAATGTGCATTGATTACCGAGAGCTGAATAAGGCAACAATAAAGAATAGATATTCGTTGTCGAGGATTGATGACCTATTTGATCAATTGCAAGGTTCGAGCTATTTCTCGAAGATCGATCTAAGGTCAGGATATCATCAGCTAAAAGTAAGAGAGCAGGATATAGAGAAGACTGCATTCAGAACTAGATATGGACACTACGAGTTCTTGGTTATGTCGTTTGGACTAACCAATGCTCCGGCAGGATTCATGGTTTTAATGAACAAAGTTTGTAATCCGTTCCTTGATAAATCTGTGATAGTGTTCATAGATGACATTTTGATTTACTCAAAAATCCAGGAAGAGCATGGCAGACACTTGCGAGAAGTGTTAGAAGTCTTGAAGAAGGAGAAGTTGTATGCTAAGTTCTCCAAATGTGATTTTTGGATTCGTGAAGTCCAATTCTTGGGTCACGTGGTCAACCAAGAAGGGATAATGGTTGATCCAGCAAAGATTGAAGCTGTAATGAAGTGGGAACAACCGAAAAGTCGCACGGAGATCCGAAGCTTTTTAGGATTAGCCGGATATTACTGAAGGTTTATCCAAGGCTTTTCTTCGATTGCTACTCCGTCGACAGCTTTGACCCACAAGGGAGCTACTTATGCTTGGAGTGAGAAGCATAAAGAAGCATTCGAGAAGCTAAAGAAGAAACTATGCGAGGCACCGATACTTTCTCTACCCGATGGAGTTGAAGACTTCGCTGTTTATAGCGATGTGTCTGGTGTTGGATTGGGTTTTGTTTTAACCCAAAGAGAAAAGGTGATAGCATATGCGTCTCGACAGCTGAAGGAGCATGAAAAGAACTACCCGACTCATGATTTGGAGTTGGAGCGGTAGTTTTCGTCTGAAGATATGGAGGCATTACCTCTATGGCACGAAGTGCAAACTTTTCACTGATCATAAGAGTCTCCAATATCTCTTTAATCAGAAGGAATTGAATATGAGGCAACGACGTTGGCTGGAATTACTCAAGGACTACGACTGTGAGATACTTTACCATCCCGGTAAAGCTAATATTGTTGCTGATGCTCTCAGTCGGAAAGTCAATCTTGAAAGGAAAGGCAAGAGCGTTGAGAATAAAGTTGTCTCGACCATTGTGGAAAGTATAAGAGCTCAAGAGGAAGCTTCTGAAAAGAATGACCGAAAGGAGGAACGTTTGGGCAAAACGTTGGTGTTCGGTGTAAACAGTCATGGACTGAAGGTGTTCTAGGATCGTATTTGGATACCTAAGATAGGAGGAATCAGAGATCTTCTTATGGAAGAAGCTCACAAAACCATGTACTCGATTCATCCCGGTAGCACTAAAATGTATAGGGACCTAAAACCCTACTACTGGTGGCCGACGATGAAGCTTGATGTTGCAAAGTATGTGGCTGAGTGTATGACTTGTGCGAGAGTCAAGACACAACATCAGAAACCGTATGGGAGTTTAGAACCTTTACCTGTGCCTATGGGTAAGTGGGAAGACATTGCCATGGATTTTGTCACTAAACTGCCCAGAACAAAGAATGGTCATGACATGATTTGGGTGGTCGTCGATCGATTCACTAAGAGTGCGCATTTCATAGCAGCCAGGGAGAAATGGTCTATGGAAAAGCTTGCGAATTCTTATGTGAAGGAAATTGTGAGGCTTCACGGTGTTCCGTTAACGATTGTATCGGATCGTGATAGCCGTTTCACCTCAAGGTTTTGGAAAAGTCTACAAGAGGAAATGGGTACCAAGTTGTGTTTAAGTACAACTTACCATCCGCAGACTGATGGCCAGAGCGAACGAACGATACAAACACTTGAAGATATGCTAAGAGCATGTACCTTGGAATTCCTAGGTAACTGGGATGAACATTTACCGTTGGTAGAATTTTCCTACAATAATAGTTTTCACTCAAGCATTAAGATGGCACCTTACCAAGTTTTATATGGACAAAAGTATCGTACGCCGTCTTGTTGACTTGAGGCTGGGGAAAAGCAGTTTATGGGACCGGAGATGGTTCATCAAACTGCTGAAAAGTTGAAAATAATTAAGGAAAGAATGTTAGCGGCTCAGGATCGTCAAAAGAGCTATGCTGACAAAAAGCAAAGACCGATGACTTTTGAAGTTGGGGATTCAGTTTTGCTTAAAGTCTCATCGTGGAAGGGACTTATAAGATTTGGTAAAAGGGGAAAGTTGAGTCCAAGGTTTATTGGACCGTTTAAAGTTCTTCAGAGGATTGGGAACCAAGCTTACAAGCTCGAACTACCAGAAGAACTGAATGGAATTCATAACACTTTTCATGTGTGTTATTTACGGAAGTTCACGGGGGAAGTTCCCGACACGATTCCACTTTCAGAGTTGAGAATCGATAAGAACAAAAGGTTGATTGAAGAACCAGAGGCACTTGTTGACCGAAAGACTAAGAAGTTGCGACACAAGATGGTCGAGTTAGTGCTTGTCCGATGGAAACACACGAATGGGCCGAATCTCACCTGGGAGACGGAGAGTGACATGATGGGTCGCTATCCGCATTTGTTTGTTGATGTGTGATTCCGGGGACGGAATCATTCTAAGGTGGAGAGAATTGTAACGCCTGTGTTTCTGGGTCTGTCATTAATTATGATATAGTAGTCTAGGTTAACCTTTGTAACCCGTTTTGAAATAATAGGAGTGTATTATTTGAATATTATGTGTTTTGTGCTTAATTGCTTAATTATGTGGTTTGATTAATTAAAAATTAAAATAAGCATCAAAATTTAAGTATAAAATAAACTTGATATCTTTAGATAATGTTGTAGTAGTTGAAACAAGGTTTCCGAAGATATAAAGAATGCCGAAATCCGAGTTATAACGAAGAAGTTATGACCTGTCGAAGTTTCACGACAAAACCGGCACCGCTGAATGACGTAAAAAGAGAAATTTACGTTAGAGCGATGTTTAGCCTTACTGATCTAAACGAGAATCAAAGATCTCGTTGTTAGTATCAAAGCGATAAAAAAAAGTTAGGCGAGAACGGACGTCAAACGAAGAAGTTATGAATTTATAACGAAATTTTATGTCCCGGCGTATTAAAAATAAATAATAAAAATAAAGTTAAACTTAGCCGACGGAGTCTAAACGAAAGTTGTAGAGCGTAGTCTCACCTTCGCGTGGATCTAAAGAACGTCGAAAACGGAGTTCGTATGAGCAAGATATGAATTTTTGAAGTTTATTAAATAATTAATAATTAAATTTAATTATTAAACCTCGGTATTATCCGGAGGCGAGTCACCGGGCTCATCCGGAGTACGCCCCGCATACTTGTGTACGCCCCGCATACGGCGAAGGATGTCGACACTCACACTCGAGGACTTCGGATGACGCATGCGCTTAGGAACTCGGAGCAGTACGCCCCGCGTACTGCGAGGCCTCAGCCTCCTATAAATAGGATGCGACGGCAGCCGGCCAAATTGCTATTTTTCTCTCTTCTCTCTCCCGTTTTGCATCGATTTGCATGCCAGAAATACCCCGAAGCCCCGGTAATATTCCCGAGTCCCGAAGCAAGTTCTGAGATCCCGTAGATCCCGAGAAGTGCGGTTTCCGAGCCGAAGCTCTACCCGCGAGAAGTTCGATTTTTGTAGAGATCTTCCAGATCTGCTGAAGATTACTACTCCCTACAAGTCGTAGTGTTGTCCGATCATCTTCTGATCAAGTGAGTGTGTAGTTAATTTCTTCTAACACATAATTATGAAGTATTTTATATGAAATACGTGTTATGTGTATAATCCTTGTTGTTATGTGCGTGAATGTATATTCACTCTCTTCAATCTCCTAGATCTGAATTGTTTTATATGAAATACGTGTTATGTGGGTAGGCCTCATCTGTTATGTGAAATATGTATTGGATGAAAATGTTATACAGGTTTTAAACTATGTATAAAAATATATATTTTTATCTACTAATATGTTGGGTAGAACATGGGTATATAGTTGGTGTGTAATAAACAGATGAGAGGCCTCGATGTTGTTGTTGTTGACCTAGTTATTCAGCGGAGTATGGATAACGACCACAGACTCCTTCTAGACAGTCTCGTGGAACGCTAGCAGGTTCATAACTTGTAGGTGTTGTGAACGATGTGTTCACCGGTGTACTCTATCCCCTTTCATGGTTGCTTTTAGGATATCTATTGTTGAGGAAACTTCCTTAGCAGTAATGTCCGTCCCGATGAAAATCCTAGATTAGGTCCTTTGAGATAGATGTTGTTTTAGGGACGTAAAGTGAGGATAACGGGAATGGGTAATCGGGATAGTGATTGGTTGGTGAAATTAAATATAATTTATTTATTGTGGGTTGAAAACCCTATATGCTCACCAGGCTCCCAAGCCTGACCCACTCAGTTTTATTTGTATTACAGGAAGTGGTGCAAGGGCGTAAGATAGATGAACCATCAAGTTGTTGTGTTTACAAGTCTGTATATGTATATATTTGTTGAATGACTTGTAATGTTATCGTTTATGCTTAATGGTTTGTATCGGAACATGACACCCCAACTTTTGATTATGAAATGAAATCATATTTCTTTACGAAATGTTTTGATAAATATCTATTTTATCATGTTTTGTTTTTGGGAAAAATTTTCGCATCTCTCTTTAAAATTAAAAGGATTTACTCTGAAAATGTTTAAAAAACATAAATAAAACCGGTCTTTTCTGGCCGAGATTTTGGGGATGTCACACTCCAAGAAGCGAAGGGCAGAAGATTTGGCAAAGAAGATAAGGAAGAAGAGCAAGAAAAGAAAGTTAGTGATTCGTAACTTTTCTTCCGAAAGTGAGATCATACCAGAGACACCATTAGGTTCGACTTTTCAATTCTTTCAACTCAAATTATCACTTCATCTGTTACCTTGCCTATTTCTACACTTCCACTAGAAGTTGTGGTAACCAAATCATGTACTGAGGAGGTTCCAACTTCAAACATTGTTGCAAACGTATCTGATACGGGTGCACATGTTTTAATGAGTGATGTTTCGTTATCCCAAGTTATTCCAGTTATTGTTTCTTCTGCACCCATCTCCGCTACTTTTGTTTCGTTACTACCAGTTATCATTTCTACCGTTCCAACATCATCTTCATCGAATTTCACTCAAATACTTAACCAACCATTCACTACATTGTTTTCTTCCCAATCCACTGATCCACCAAAATCGAATGAGCCACCCAAACCTCTTGAAGATTCTAAAACCGAAGATACAGGGTTTGGAGGAACTTTTGAAGCGCTTGAATTTGAAGATGAGGAGGAAAATTTTCCAGATCATATGTTAATCTCTATGAAGCAATTCAAGATTCTTAACAAGAATTTAAATTCGATCATTCAATCTCAGGTGGATATGGGGGTAGCAATTTTGTGTCAGGAATGGAGATTGATGGTATGCTTAAAGCAGTTGAATCCAGAATGGTTAGCAAATTTTCTACACTGATTCAAGCGTCTGAATCACGAATAATGGAGAAAGTATATTTAAATGATCAGAAAAATGAACTTCGCATCAAATCTCAATCTTCAACATTTAATGGTGAAGTTCAAGAATTTCGAAGGCTTGCAAAAGAAAGACATGTGATGTTTGTTCAAGACGTCAAAAAGGTAAGAGAAGATGTTAATTTCAAACTTCAAGAGCTTCGAGAAGACATGGAAAAAGAAATTGAAGTGGTGCAACGTGATTATGCTTCTTTAAACCAGCAAGTTGATGTTATTGTTGAGGTTCTTGCCACGTTCGTAAAGCTATATGAAGCCGAGAGTCCACAGCTTTCTCAATTGTCTACTACAGAATCCACTAGTTTTGTTAAGATCAATAATCACTTTAAAGAGTTGAAAGCTTTAATATCAAAGTCCATCTCTTCTCCACTGATAACTGCTGAGTTTTTATCTCAGGAGTTTACTCATTCTAAAGCTATTCTACAGAAACAAGTGGCCCACTTGTCAAGAATCTCAAATATTTTACCAACAGATGCCCCGCCTGTTATCACAGGTGTGCAAGGGGGAGAATGGAATGTTTGTGGGAATATGAATGAAGAGGCAATGGTTGTTGTAAAAGTGTTCTCCACGAAATTACCAACAACAAATCCAACTATTTCGACAGCTGGTCCAGTGAGTTCAACAGTTGTGACTACAAAGCCAATCACCAAAGGTATAGTTATTCGATCATCTGGTGAAGGGGGAGTAGTTCGAAACCAAAGGATGTTGTTGAAAATCCTAGAAATAAAGACAAAGGAAAAATAGTTGTTGTCGAAAAAAGTAAAGAAGAAAGAAAAGCTGAAGTTGAAACAGAGATGGAGAAACAAAGAGTAATTCAAAGTATTCTTCGACTTTGTGCAAATGATCCTCCTGGAATGAATAAGGGAGATCCAAGTAAGCATTACAACTATGAGACAATCGAAGAAAAAGTGGCTTATAATCACATGTATTCTTTTGAGAAGCAGCCAAAACAAAGCTATGTGGTTACAAACACAGATATGAGCCAACTTGATTTTCCAATGAACGAGATGATGTTCATAATGGCTCAATTCAAGATTACAGAAAAGTTTAAAAATGAATATGATTCTACCTATATGAAACTTAGGTTTCATGCTATTCTTGGGAAAGTACCAGAGGAGATATGGTCTCTGGTAACAATCAAAATGGTGCACAGCATAACAAAGGATGTTTTGTTTGAAGACATGATGCAGAATTTTCGATACCATGTGACAAGAGCAACCAACAAAATCTATGATTTCCTAGTAGCTGATTTTCCATTAATGAGCTTGTATGATCTCATACAAGTTGCATTACTTTTGAAATACAGGAATTCCTCGCATCTGCAAGGAACAGACCCAGAAGTATTTCGACTGGGTCTTGCACACATCAAAATATTCATAGAAAGTTACTATGAATGTTTAGCCCTAACTAATATGGAGTTCGCTACAGCAAAAGGGGTGGAAGTAAAAGTTCCTATGGAAATACCGAAGTCTCAGACTGAGTTAAAGAAGTATGCAGATGGGGATATATGCTTGAATCCATTTGGGTTAGTCTTCACAGGAAAGGATAAAAATGGGAAGGCTAAAAGATTTTTGTTCCAGGAATCCGAAGTGGAAAGGTATACCACGTCTCAATATACGAACTTCATTGTTTGTATGAATAACCGTTCGAAGAACAATCAAGGAGACAAGAAGGAGTTGAAGAAGGTTTTTTCTTGGTATACTGAGATTCGAAGGGTGATGCTTTTTGCTGCTAAATTATCACGAATTCAAATGTTCGACATTATTACAAAGGGGGAGATTGTAAGGGTCGAAGTTTTAGTTGTAATATGTCAAAACTTGTAATGTTATTTTACAAGGCACTTTATATCGAAACTTAATGTTTAGTCCTTGTAATTTTTTGTATGCTTTCACGTCTCCTATAAACAGGGACTTTACTTACAGTTAGATGAGAATTAGTATTTGTCTTGTCTACATTTTCTCTTTGTAAACATTCAAAGCATAATATAAGCTGAAACCAGATTATATTTACATTTTGTGTTTATTTACTTGATTACTCTGATATATTCTCGATTCATCACTCCATCAGCTACAACTAGCTCCTTGACCAACAACCTCATGTCATGAAGATAACTCATGTATTTCTCCACACGCCCTATTTGTATTGCATCTCAAATAAAGCAAGTTCCGTCAATGTGGGATGTTAGACTTGCTTGGAGGAGTCTTAGACGTGGTTTAGGATGCCTGTGCATCCTTGGTAGTGTTCTTCAGGCTCTTTGTCGCCCTTCATTTACACTATAAAATTGCTAAAAAATGGTTTGTCGTGCTTGGCGGTGTCCATCGTTTGTCAACGTGTTTCGTTAACGGCAGTTGCACATTAAAATGAGGCTAAAATTGGTAGGGTGTCATTGGGGGCGTCCTAGATGTCATACAAAATTTTATAATAAAATAAATTTTACTATAATGAAACTTTAATATGTAAAACCTTTCAAAAATCTTTAAGATATAAAATTAAACTTCAATATTAATAAAATTATTTCAAACATATTGTTTCTATCATTATTTCAAACTACATAATTACACATATTAAAATGGGTTACGGCGCACCTTGTTGATCGTTTATTTATTACGTATATATAAAACTTTGTTATTAATTATATTTCAGTACAAACTATATAATCACACATACTAAAAAAATAACCTAACAAAAGTTGAGATAACTAAATAAAACAAATCTAAAACTTACTAGTAATTTCACGACATGATCTCAATTCTAAAAATACAATACACAGAGACAAAAAGATTTGGGCTTAAATTGTACGCAAATGAGGTTAATATTATAGGCTGCACCTTGCGGTAGAGGTTTAGCCCAACTCATATGTATAAATAATTTCTTAAGAACTATATATATATATATATATATATAATATATATATATATATATATATATATATATATATATATATATATATATATTATATATATATATATATATATATATATATATATATATATATATATATATAAACTCGTAATTTTCCGAAAGGCTGATAACTAAAGTTCTAGCGTTAGATCAAAATTAACTCATTAAGATCATGATCGTCTTCTTACCGATCTCATTTAATGTTTATTTTTTGTTATTGGAAATATTAATAAAATGTTTTAAAAATTAACATAATAAATTAAATTTCAGAATTTATTTTTTAATAATTTTTGATTTTTTTTAAATGGATATTTTTTTACTTTTTTCAGAAAACATGAACTACTAAAAAAATTGATTTTTTTAAACTGCATTTTTTATAAAAAAAAAAAACACATTTTTTGCAAAAAAAACTACAAATTTTTTTTAAAAATTGCAACTTTTTTCAAAAAAAAAAAAAAAAAAAAAAAAAAAAAAAAAAAAAAAAAAAACCTGCACTTCTTTTAAAAATTGTAATTTTTAAAAAGTAAATATTTTAAAATCAGTAACTAAAAAAAAAAAAAAAAAAAAAAAAACTAGAATATGTAAAAAACTCTAATTTTTTTTAACCAAAATAATCAACGTTTTAGGTACATATATGCACATTTTTTCAAATACATATATGCATATTTTTTATACTATAATATTCGTTAGTAAATCATAAAAAAAATCTTATTTTTATTAATCAATCTAAAACCATAATAATATAAGAATTTATTTGATAGAAAATAAAATATAAAAAAAATGTGTTAGGATTAAAACCCTAATTAAGATTTGATGAACAAGATGCGGAAAATAAGAACAAACACAAAAATGAAAGATTAGGTCGAATGATCATTCGATTTATTCAAATAAGAGGAATAAATCACACTTTCAGCTTAGACTAAAGAATCTAACACTACATAAGAACCCTCACGTGGCGGCTACATTTTGCATCACTCTTAACCCTAATTATGAATAATACATGACTATTTATAGGGAAATAACAAGTCTTGAGCTTTTAACCTACACTTCATCAAGGGGCTCATTGTCATCATCCATGGAATGCTTTGAAACCCTACAATCTCCACCTCAAAGTATGGAATGGATGACAATGATTTAACTTCCAAAACAAGCATCTAGCGAATAAAAAGAACTTGCAACGAGGAATAGATGAAGCAATCCACAAATCTTGATTCTTCAATAGTCTTCAAACACGGGCTCTAGGATATATAAATCAAGCACTGAAGTAATGACTTTAAACTTCATTTTCGAATGTAATCCCAAAAAAAATCTTCATGAAAACCAAACCCGCCATAAAAACCTATTTCAGAACAAAGAAACTGAATCACTTCTTGTCTTTGAAGAGCTCCCCCTCCAAGTCACAATGAACTTCAAATAAGCTAATGATATAAGTCATCAAAAAAATATCATGTAACAACCCAAACTTTAAGATTTGTAATGCCGCTTGATCGAGAAAATACTAGAAGTCGAAGATATAAAAAGTCCTTAGCAGAGCTCGATAAAGAACTTCCGTTGTAAAGGCTACTTCTTTGTAAAAACTTTAGCAGAGCTCGATGAAGAACTTCCACTGTAAAAGCTACCTTCATAATTCTACCACAAGCTTTATCAAAAAAACTTCAACTTTGAAAAGTCACAAATCCAATATCGAATGGCCATACTAAATTCTCCCCCGATTTATAATCGAAAACATGATTATAAATCCTTCTTATGGTCATGAGAATGATATTGAATGGATAAAAATTACTATGCTCCCCCACGACAAAATGATATATACAATGAAGTATAAAATCCGAAAAAGTCGTGAAAATTTGTCGTTATCACGAAAAATGACTTTCCGAACCGCCAAGACTTGATGGAATCCATAATTTGTTGTTCACGAAAAAAATATGCATTAAAGAATTCAAAACTGTTCACCAGCCCTCAAATGTGTAAACTTTTCTAAATATAGGGCAGAAATTGTCACTTGCTGAAAGACAAGGGCTAGAATGGTAATTCTGCATCAATATACCCCTTTATTTGCAACAAAATCTGGAATTGGTCCTAAACTGCCAAGGCATGAAGCGCATAGGGACCAAAGGAGTCAAATCACTGAAGTTTCAGGGACCGTAAATGTAACATGGTATCTTCTTCCCCAAGGCTTCTGAATAAAAGGACACAACTGGAACAATGGTTATAAACGAATTGTTACAGGTGAACACGAACATTGATATCAAAGCGAAGGTTTATACCGAGCTCACGCAATTATACACCTGAAGCGAACCCAACTGAAGGTTCATTTCCTTTTGTTTCCATTTCCATTTCAAGCTCCTTCAGGCGAATCACCCTTTCACTTTCGGTCCTTCCTTCGTTGGCTCAAACCATTAACAAGCGAACCCAAAGTCGTTGTTCCAGGTTCGGTCCAAGTGCATCAGCTTTATCCCAAGGTGAAACCATTTACAGGTTCGCTTATTATTCTTCCCTCTTTCTTCCAAGTGCTTTCGTTCCAAGAGCTACCAACCAAACTTAAGTTTGTTCCAGGTACATCACGATGCGAACAAGGAGCGAAACCTTAGCCGAGCGGAACCACAAGTTCGCTTTTGTTCCTCCCCTCTTTCATTCCAAGTTTTAACAAGCAAGCCCAATATCGTTCTAGGGTCGTTCCGTGCTTGTCGAATACACCCCAAACCCAAGCATTTGTTCACTTGTGAAAGATAATCAAATACTGTTTGTGTGAACCCATAAATCAATTCCACATCCGAACGTTTGCAGGTATGATGTTCATTCCAAATCAGTCATTCATGATCCGGATGTGAATCACAATCAAATTTTGCCTTTTTGTTTGACCGGCAGTTCATCCTTAACTCATAACACTCAAGATTCAACCCCAATTTTGACTTTTGCAATGACCATTCTTCATCCCGATTAACAATCGTTCACAGGTAAGGTTGCGAATCCTACATCGTTTGTTCTGATTGAATTAAGCCCCTATTAAGAGACGTACTTGGCGATTTGAACAGGACGTCAAGACAATTCCGAATGCAATCCAATTCTTCCGATTCCGAGTCCATTCGCTCGTATTTTGACTTTCAACTTTGACAAACAATTGCGAACAATTACACAACCATATTCCAAATTCTAATTTTGTTGGTTACGATTCCGATTGGGAATTCAATATCATTTGTACCGATGTCTTAAGCCCCGATTGCATGACCCAGTGACATCTAAGCAACAAAATTTTGACATTTAAGAATTGACCACTAAGAATAACTTCTTCCAATCGATTCCAGATCAATAAAAGTCAATATTGATTTTCCAAACAAAAAATATCACAACCATATCAATTGATTGACCATAACTGATGTTGAACAAATCAAACAACTTGGATTCGATTGACAAGATTTGAATTTGATTATTGAAAATAACAATTTTGTGATTCAAGGAATCGATTCAAAAGATGCGATAAGAACGTGAGAACGAGAAACGGAAACAATCGCCAAAACTTTTTCCATTTAGGTCAACAAAATTAAATTAATGTGCTCAAGACGTATCATGACAAACAAAAGCATTTAAGATCAGGACTTAATTTGAACGAGATGTACAATAATGAACTGGATTTATGGGCCAAAAAGAACGAAATTTATCCACGAAGCCAACAATTGAATTTGAAATATAATACAGTGAAAGAACGATTTTATGGCCCAATAACAATGAAACGGATCCATCGACAATTCATTGAGAATTTGGATAAAACTAATGATTAGATCCAATCAGAAAACACGAACAGATAAATGAATCGCATAGAAATAATACCATATGAACAGTGACAAAACACATGATTTCCCATGAACAGTTGCTTGAATAGTTGCTTGAACAGAAAGCTTGATTCCAAGTCGCCAAAACCTCAAAAATCATCAAAATATTGTGCAGAAAATCATCAAATCAATAACTGATACTTCAAAAATCAATAGATCTTCAAAGACCTGCTCCGATACCACTTGTTAGGATTAAAAC